GGGTCTGACCTGAATGACGTGGTTTGGAGGAATCCGCACTTTCAGAGAAGCCGTTGAATTCATCCACCAAACGGGGTCTCTACCTGAGTGTAAACCCTAAACCCTAAACCCTAAACCCTAAAACCTAGACCCTAAACCCCTAGTAAGCCTCAAACCCTAAACCCTAAACCCTAAACCCTAGTTTGTTACGCCTTTTGGGTTTGGTATGAAGGAAACCGCCGATAAATTTCCACGCTAGCTGTTTGTTAAAAACTTGAGATACAGTACATGCCTAGGGTTTAGGGTTTAGGGTTTAGGGTTTAGGGTTTAGGGTTTACGTTGCTTTGGAGGAGGAGCCGACTGTGTATACGCGAGAGGCTCTAATTTTTTTTCTGTTTCTTCTGTTGACTTTTCTGCGTTTTCTTCTTCTTTTTCTTCTTCTTTTTCTTCTTCTTCTCTGTATACACCCCAAGAAACCCTCACTAGGGTTTAGGGTTTAGGGTTTAGGGTTTATAAGTTTTTTTTTTTTGTGGCATTATAACTGGATGAGTAAATATATTTTTCTGGTGTGTGAAATTTCGGGGTAAAAAAATTTTTTTCAAAAATTTTTTTTTCGAGGGTTTAGGGTTTAGGGTTTAGGGTTTAGGGTTTAGGGTTTAGCTTGCTGGCTCTGGGTATCTGGGGAGAGGTTTTTCTCTTCTTTTTGGTTTTTTTTTATATGTAAATTTCCGTGGGTTTCTCTGTAATATTCTTCTAACTCTAAACTAACATCCACCAAACTTGCGAGGCGGCGAGAGGCTGATACAGGCAGCTCGCGAGCTCTCTACACACAAACCCTAAACCCTAAACCCTAAACCCTAAACCCTAAACCCTAAACCCTAGGCCCTTGATAGGATCTGTATATGTGAAGATATAACCCGGAGACAAGACAGAGAAAAAAAAAACCTAAACCCTAAACCCTAAACCCTTGATTTCACCCGATACATTATAATCCCTCAACCCCTCCTCTCCCTCTCCCAAACCCTAAACCCTAAACCCTAAACCCTAAACCCTAAACCCTAAACCCTAAACCCTCTTAATCCCTTTATATTTTTTCCTTTTTCGATCCTTTTCTCTCTTCCCTCTCCCCCCTCCCCCCACCCCGCACCCCTCTCCCCCCCCCATAAACCCTAAACCCCAAACCCTAAACCCTAAACCCTAAACCCTAAACCCTTGAATTACCTCTAGAAGAGCAGCAACAAGTTCGTGTGCGGGTTTACCTAAACCCTCATCATTAAGAAGATCTATTACGTTGTTTACATCAGCCCGTAAACACTCGGGGATGGTTTGTCTCGCAACAAAAGCTCTATCCATATATTCATCTTCTATTTCATTTAGTTCTAGGTTTATACTCTCGCTCTCATCTATACACATACACAGTAAACCCTAAACCCTAAACCCTAAACCCTTGTTTTTATTTTTTTTAATTTGTTTATTTATTTATTTATTTATTTATTTATTTGTCTCGCAACAAAAGCTCTATCCATATATTCATCTTCTATTTCATTTAGTTCTAGGTTTATACTCTCGCTCTCGTCTATACACAACAAACCCTAAACCCTAAACCCTTGTTTTTATTTATTTATTTATTTATTTATTTATTTATTTGGTTATTTATGTGTTTATTTGTCTCGCAACAAAAGCTCTATCCATATATTCATCTTCTATTTCATTTAGTTCTAGGTTTATACTCTCGCTCTCATCTATACACACAACAAACCCTAAACCCTAAACCCTAAACCCTAAACCCTAAACCCTAAACCCTTGTTTTTATTTTTTTTTTTTTTGTTTATTTATTTGTCTCGCAACAAAAGCTCTATCCATATATTCATCTTCTATTTCATTTAGTTCTAGGTTTATACTCTCGCTCTCATCTATACACA